CGTCAAGTACTTGCACAGCCTCCACCAGCAGCAGCAGCAGCAGCAGCAGCAGCAGCAGCAGCAGCAGCAGCAGGATGAGTTTCCGTTTTTATTGAAGGTGCTGTCTGTTGCTTCTCCTTTATCTATTCAGAGTCATCCTGATAAAGCTCTTGCTGCTGTGCTGCAGCAGCAGCAGCCTCAAGAATTTAGAGATGCAAATCACAAGCCAGAGATGATTGTTGCTGTCGGCGACTTTGCTGCTTTGGCCGGCTTCCGTGCTGCAGCAAATTTCGCGTTGCTGCTGCAGCAAACAAAAGAGCTGCAGCAAGCGCTTGGAGACAACTTCTTGCTGTCTCCTGAAGGTACATATCTATTACAACTCAAGCAGCAGCAGCAGCAGCAGCAGCAGCAGCAAGAAGGAGTGGAGGAGGCCTCAGAGAAAGCAATAAAAGCAGCATTTGCTGCTCTCTTAAGAGCTGATGCATATCACAAGCAGCTGCAGCAGCAGCAGCAGCAGCAACGACAAGAGCAGCAGAAGCAAGCTCTAAAAGACCTGCATGCAAGGCTTATCAAAAACCCTCCACCACAGCCCTCTCAACAGCAGCAGCAGCAGCAGCAGCAGCAACAGCAGCAGCAGCAGCAGCAGCAGGAAGCAGAGTGGGTTGCGCTGCAGCTTTTATCTTGTTATCCTGATGATGTTAGCTGTTTTGCTGCTTTCTTTCTCAACTTAGTTTTGCTGCGAGACGGAGAGGCTCTCTTCATCCCTCCTAACTATATACACTGCTATATCAAAGGTAAATACCTGCTGCTGCTGCTGCTGCTGCTGTTGCCGTTGCTGTGGCTGCTGCTGTTGCTGCTGATGTTGCCGTTGCTGTGGTTGCTGCTGTTCCCGCTGCTTTTGCTGCTGTTGCTGGTGCTGTTGCTTCTGCTGCTGCTGCTGTTGCTGCTGCTTCTGCTGCTGTTGCTGCTGCTGCTGTTGCTGTTGCTGCTGCTGTTGCTGTTGCTGCTGCTGCGGTTTCTGCAGCTGCTTCCAAGCTGAAACTGCCGCTAGAGCTACTACTCCTACTACTACTACTGCTGCTGCTGCTACTGCTGCTGCTGCTGCTACTGCTGCTGCTGCTGCTGCTGCTGTTTTGATTGCATTTGTTTGCAGGGCATGGCATAGAGTTAATGTCTGCTTCAGATAATGTAATTAGGGGCGGTCTAACATCAAAGAAAATTATAAAAGATTTGCTGCTGCAGTCGCTCTGCTTCAACCCGCGCATGCAAAGCCCTAAGAAAATTTCTACGATTGCTCTCCCGCTGCAGCAGCAGCAGCAGCTGCACCTTCTGCAGCAACTCACAGTCAAGCAGCAGCACGAGCAGATACTCCAAGACCTCCACCAGCAGCAGCAGCACCAGCAGCAGCAGCACCAGCAGCAGCAGCAGCAGCAGCAGCAGCAGCAGCAGCAGCAGGAATGCGTTTTATACGCTCCTCCTCTTTGGGAGTTTCCCGAATTCTGTGCTGCGAGAATTTGCCTCCAGCAAAACGTCAAAGTACACCTAAACCCTAAACCCTAAACCCTAAACCCTAAACCCTAAACCCTAAACCCTAAACCCTAATTCTGGGACGTTGAGGTGAAATAGGAGAGCAGCAGGATATTGACGAGCGGTTTGTCTTGCTGCTGCTGCTGCTTTCTACGCTGCTGTTGCTGTTGCTGCTGCTGCTGCTGCTGCTCTCTTGCTGCTTGTGCTTTCAACACTGCTGCTGCTGCTGCTGCTGCTGTTCTCTTGGTGTTGCTGCTGCTGCTGCTGCTGCTGTTTGCTTCTCAGCGTTCCTTCGCGCTGCTGCACCGAACGCACGGAGTGCTGATGGTGTTGTCTGCTCCTTGGCCTACAACTATGAGCGTCAGCAGCAGCAGCAGCAGCAGCAGCAGCAGCAGCAGCAGCAGTATGTGTGTGCGTCTGCGTGCTGGCGATATTTTCTTCATTGCTGCTGGGTCGACTGTCACTCTGGTGGGGCCTTGCTGCTTCTGCTGCTGTT